CATTGCGTACTTCGTTGCTTAGAGGGGATCAGAATTACCTTTCATAAAACTAAAGAAGTGTTTCTGTGAAGTGGTGAAGATCAAAAATTAATTTTAAACAAGGCGAAGAATTTCTTTCATCATCATCATAAGGTCATCAGTCGTAAGACTGGTTGGACACGTACCTCCACGCTTTCCTATCCTGAGCTAAACTTCGCATTTCCCTAAAACTAGAACAGCCCACATCCTTAACTATTTGCGAAGAGTAATCTAATCTGGGCCTACCTCTACCCCTCCTAACTCCTGTTTCTGCCTCTAATATGTCTCTGACTAGACCTTCATGCCTGAGAAGGTGTCCTACCAACCTATCTCGCCTATTTTTTATTGACTTCCATAGAGTCCTCTGTTCTCCTATTCTTTCCAATACCTCTTCATTTCTAACCTTTTCTACCCACGATATCCTCATCATCCGCCTATAACACCACATTTCGAACGCTTCTAACCTTTTCTTTTCCGCCGCTCCCACTGTCCATGTTTCGCACCCGTACAACGCCGTGCTCCAAACATACACCTTTAACAACCTTTTTCGAATTTCTAAATTAACCGTTCGCGAGCATAGAAGTGACTTCTTTTTATTAAAGGCGACACGACCCTGCGCTATCCTCTGCTTTATATCCCTACTACTCCTTCCATCCTCACTTATCTGACTTCCTAGGTATCTAAAATCAGCCACTTCTTCTAATTTTTCGTCTCCTATCTTTATATTCGCTCTTTCCCTACTTTTTCTTCCCTTGCATACCAGTATTTTAGTTTTACTTTTATTTATTTTCATACAGTACTTCCATTTTATTTAAAGCTATCTCTAGGTCCTCCTTGCTAGATGCTAACACTGCTATATCATCTGAAAATCTAAGCATACTAATCTTTTGCCCTTGCACATCTATCCCTACAGTTGTACTGTCTTTAATGATGTTGATTGCGTCTTCGGTGTATAGATTAAAAAGTAGCGGTGACAGTGTGCATCCCTGTCTGACTCCCTTCCTAATATTTACTTCTCTACGTTGCATCCCTAGCTCTATAACTGCCTGTTGCTCTTTATACAAACTAAGTATCACTCTTCTATCTTTGTAATTCATCCCTACATTTTTAAGTATATTTAACATCTTGTCCCATTTAACATTGTCAAAAGCTTTCTCTAAATCTACAAAGCCTATGTACGCACTCTTTCCTTTTTCTATCGTTTTCTCTATTGCTACCCGTAAAGCTAGGATGGCCTCCCGCGTTCCTCTATTTCATCTAAACCCAAATTGATCTTCCCCTAATAGTTCTTCCGCCCTTTTCTCCATCCTCCCCTGTACAATTGTAGTTAAGATTTTTGACGCATGGGAAGTTAAGCTTATTCTCGCACCTATCCGCGCCCCTCTTCTTAGGTAATGTTACTACTGCGTTCTGTTTATAATCCTCTGGGACTTTCCCCGTTTCGTAAATGTGACTAACCAACTTAAACATACGATCTCTAACCTGCATGTTTTATAATTTCCCCCTGTATCCCATCTACACCTGGCGCCTTATTATTTTTTAAATTTTTTAATGCTACATCGAACTCCTCTCTCATTATGGGATAACCAAGCTCATCTATTTCCACGCTATCTCCCTTCTCTATTATATCTCCTAACTCAGGGCCTGCGTAAAGGTTATCTAAATATTCTTTCCACCTATCTGCCTTTTCCTCATTTTCTATCAACATGACCCCTGCGTCGTTTCTTATACTATTACTACTGTATCCTACATCTAAAATTCCTTTTAATTATAAGCCTCATCGGTTTTACCTACTTGAAAGATTTCTTCTACTTCTTTACACATCCTATCAATCCACTGTTCCTTAGCTGCTCTACACCTCCTAATTATTTCCCACTTTATAGCTTTATATCTTTTCTGCCCTTCTTCGTCTGTCCTGCTTTTGTATTTCCGCCTTTCGTCTATTAATCCTACAATCTCATTTGCTATCCATGGTTTCCTGCTTTCGTTTTGTTTAAGACCTAATACCTCTGTAGCTGCTGACTTTAGACACGTGTTAATGCAGCTCCATTTTGTCTTTATATGTCCCCGTCATTCGTTTCTCCAGCCGCCATTAGTAATTTGTCTGTCATTTTACCTAGCCTATCAAGCGCTTCGTTACATTTTAGCTTTTCTAAGTCGAGACGTCTCCTACCTTCCCTCTTTTTCAGAATTTTGAATTTAAGATTGGTTTTCATAACTACTAAGTTATGATCGCTATCTATATCTGCTCCTGGATAACTCTTACAGTCCTTCACTTGATTTTTAAATCTTTGTCTAACAAGTATGTAATCTAATTGAGATCTCCCTAAATCACCTGGCATCTTCCACGTATAGCGTCTCCTAACGTGATGGTTGAATAAAGTATTCGCGACGGTTAAGTTATGTTTATCGCAAAATTCTATCAGCCTGTCTCCCCTATCATTTCTATTGCCTAATCCAAAAGAACCTGCTATTGCACCCACTTTACCTTCTCCTATTACTGCGTTGAAATCTCCTAAAACTATTAGGTTGTCCTGTCCTTTCACTAAACTTAACACGTCTTCTATATCTGCATCAACTGCTTCTACGTCTTCATCACTGTAAGATGATGTAGGCATGTAGACCTGCACTAATACCGTTCTTACCGGCTTTGAGTTTAATTTAACCATAACTATCCTATCGCTTTTTTGTAAATAACTTTCTACACTCTACCCTACTTTCCTACGCATTACAATTCCTACACCTGAATTACCTTCTACCGATCCTGCATGTATTACTCTAAAGTCCCCACTCCAGAAGTCTCCAGCTTCGGGCCAACGGACTTCACTAATACCTACTATATCTAATTGTAATCTATCCATCTCTATTTTTAAATTTTCTAATTTCCCTGCCTGCCTCATTGACCTAACATTCCACGCACCGACTCGTGAAACATTGCACCTATCCCCATTGCACTTATTGATGACATCCCCCGAGGTAGTCCCCGCCCGGACATCCGAATGGGGGACTAGTTTACGTCCGGAGTACTTTACCCCAGAGGACGCCATCATTTAATTGTGTGACACGTTCTTCTCGGGATAATAATGTGGTGGTTTCCCGTTGCCTTCCACATCGCAGTATTGTGCATCAGAGTGCCATACCGATCCTTGAGCTCTGCCACCCTGAGTACTGAAAGAGCTGCTGCCCTCTTTCAGGGACTTGTCTTAGTCTGGTTTCTCTTTAAGAACCCCTCCATTATGGTTGAACCTATGGTTCGGCTCCCTAAATCGTCGAAACTCGCAAGCCGATCCACCCACTCTAGTTTGTACCAGAGTTTTGTTAAGGTCCAAGTCCCGTCGGATCGGAAGAATTTCTTTGACCGTTATTAATTCCTTCGTATTGATATTTTTGTAAATTACGAATATAGGGGATTTAATTAAAATTTGACGTAAAATTCGAGTTTTTTTTTATGATTTGAAGAATTACACTTTTTTCTGTAAAACCGTAGTTTTCATTCGAAATTTTGCACAAAAAAAGCACTCGAAAATTGAAAGCCACGAGGTAGGACGTTGGAATTTTTACTTATCTGTTTTACTATGTACCTACTTGCTTCGCGTCTTGTCCTCAAATTTAATCTAACTTTAATTCAACGTGTGGCACTTTAAACCAATCACAAATAAACAGCTGTTTTTTTTTTATATTTTTGTTGTGAGAATCTTACTAGATAACTAGATGATGTCACCTTAACCATCCCTCAATTGATATTAGTCATGTTGATAGTGTCACCATGGCAGGAGAGCGTGCTACCACTGAACCTAAAGAGAACCACAGAGGTTTTAAGTTATAGAAAATCTTTTTGTGTAGGGTGAATGCAATCTATTAGTAAATTACCTCAAATTAATGAGAAAAGGTTGTTGATGTTGTCACCCCTTGCCGAGCATCGAACTCGTATCCCTCATTAATTTGAGGTTATCTGTAGTGGTAAATTAATTCTCTAATACCGACAGCTTTAGGTTTGTCTATAGTAATTAAAAAATGCATGTTTAATAAAAACTATATGTTCAGACTGAAGAATTTTGAACACGTATGTTAAATAATTTTATCCTTTACTGATTCGTATCGGTTATTTGTCAGTTTATTAAATATTTTAATTATAATAAACGTATTAAAAATGTTTTAGAAACACGGCTATCCGCGTGATCACATTTTTCTTTTTCTTTTACGTACTGCACGTATATTTAAATCAAATGCCTCTTTTTAACTGTCCTACGAAGGAACAAAACTACATTTAAATTTAAAACATTTATTGAAGACTGGAATTATCCCCATACATCCCAAGCTAAAACGCCGAGATCAGGCACACGTGTGGTGGACGGTAGAACATACGTACATGACGAAACTTCGAAGGTTAAATATTACGCAAGTACGATCGGATAGTAAAAACATATATACAGGGATAAATTATTTTATTACCAATAACCTACATTATTGTAGCGGTAATTTAGATTCAACATTCCGAAAATCTAATTAACCTGGAAAATATAAATCATGGAACATATGTAATAAAATTAAACTACACAAGTAACTAAATACTGTGAACTAAATTTAATAACAAATAAGCAAAACACAGAAAAATGTAATTAATAAATTAAATGTAAAAATCTGGTCCCTCATCCAGGCAGTAAAACGACCTGCTAGTTGGTACCTACCAAATACTTCTTCTTACTTTACATCTGTAGGACTTTTAATTTCTTGCATATAGAGATACACGTGCCTCTAATTTGATAACCACAAAACATGAATCGGCAGTTAATAGTGGTGTATCCAGCGCAATGAAGTCAAGTGCATCAAAAACAGCTGTGTACAAATCTTTTAATTAAAAGAAATTAAAATTAATTTATCGCATATTTCGATAATACTTCAAGTAAGTGATGACAGATGAATGCATAACTGTTGTTGTCGAATTGATCACTATCTACAATTCTAGAAAATCACAAAAGCGGAATGATGAAGTACGAACACCTATAAAAGTAAAAATTCAAGTTTTGGTCGACCATTCAGCAATCATGGCTCGAAGTTTGATTTTGGCAGCGCTAGTTTGCATCTCTCTGGGTAAGCATTAATAGTAAACTTGTAGATGATGGTAAGAGTTTGTGTAATTTACATTTTTGTGAAATCGCTAATATTTTAACGATCAATCGGTAAAGCGGTTAAGGGAGTGAATGCATCCTCGTTGCATGAGCGTAGTTAGATCCCGACTACGAAGAATATAAACATCACCCTATAATTGAACAATATTGTAGATTATGGTCTTTGAAGAAACATAGGGTGATTTTTATATTATTGGTAGTCGGGATTTAACTCCACATACGTTTTTATATGAAACGGTGCGCGTACGATTCGAGAGGGTATAATGTAAAGATCGCTGCAAATGATGTACGCCAAATGCCTGATGTTTTGTGCGAGTGAGAAATAATTTTGGTAGACGCTTTAAAGCCTTTTTCTACCGCTCGGTTCTAATTTCGAAAAATTTTTATCGTGCACGTATATATGTATATCTGTGTTTGGTGGTGGAACTGGAACCACTAATTCGTCTATACGTTTTCAGAGAATGGTACGTGGTTTACAAAAAATATATTTTTCACACCAAAACCAATAAATCCATTTACATAATGAATACATAAATTCATTGTAGTACCGATTGATTACTAATGGCTTTTGCCATTTTCGTCAAATTTTACTTTAGTTTAGGGTTCGGTGTACCTTCATTACAATTTTTGTTTGAAGCCGGGCCGTCGACATCAATGTAACTATAGTACATTTGGTAACTAGCACGCGTACTGCACAGGTAGTATATATTTCCTTTCTTTTTTAATTGCCAATCGACTTCTCTGTAAGCCATAAGAAAACTACTATCAATTTGAAATAAAACTCGCTGCCGAGCATGCAGACCAACCGAGCGGCATGGCCTGGAGGTTTAGACCATTGCTTAGCATTCGGGAGGATGCCGGTTCGATTCCGGGTCCGTCTGCCTTGGTCCAAGTTTTTCTGTGGTTTCCTTGGATCACCTAGGCAAATGCTGAGGCAGTAATATTCCACAGATAATCATTCATTCTCTTCTGTCTTCATTTCGTCCGTCTCAACTTTCTCACCCAAACCACCACCCACCCATTCCCACGATTCCTGAAAAGCAGGCTGAAGAGGGCCTCCCGCCCTACCTTCCGGCGTAGGCCGGAGGGACTGCCCGCCCACCAACATTACTGGCTGGTGGGAATGAAACACCCAAAAATTTTAGTTTTTTTTTTCATGCAGTCCAAAAGTGCTTATAAGTTGCCGAAGCGTATGTAGCGTTGCTTTAATTAAAATAAATTAACAAGAATGTTAGTTATCGTTGTTACTTTAAATTATAAAAAATTGTTTGCCTTTTATTGGCGAAATTGAAAAATATCAGTTGAATTGCATTAAAATGACCGTAAGGGAAAATTGTCAATAAATGCGCCTGTTTATCCCTGTTGCTCGCACTAAATTCGCCACGAAAAATATAATACGGTGATGCCTTTAGAAAAGAAACTTTGAAGGAAGTTTGATTTTAGCAGTGCTTTCTTATATCTATTAGAAAACCTGTCCAAAAAAACGCTCATATGATCGACTTTGCTATAATTCTATAATAAATGAAGTACTTTTAGTTTGATGAAAGGTTTTCAGGTCCTCAGTGTGCAAATTTTACGCGAATGTCATAGTAAATATGACGAATCGCGAATCCCGTTTCCGCTCAACTTATTATTTTAGGTACCTCGCTAGCTCCCTACATAAATGTTAACGTAAGTGAATATCGATAAATTATTCAAGTATCAGTTAGGGGGATTTGATGGTTACACTTTAAAGAATTTAGTTTTTATGGTATAGACGCTGTTTGGTCTTATTCAAAGAGCTGAAATTGTTTTTCAAAAACAGTTGATTATCTCAAGAACTACTAGGGATAGGTAATAAATTCGATCTAAAATTTAATAAGGAAACCAAAAGTATAAAAATATACAGGATGTTCCATTTAAATTAACGAAATTAGGACCAGAAGAGCTGATTTTTTTTTTCAAAAACAGTTGATTATCTCAAAAACTACTAAGGATAGGTGTAAGGACCTGCCAATAAATTCGATCTAAAATTTAATAAGGAAACCAAAAGTATAAAAATATATAGGATGTTCCATTTAAATTAACGAAATTAGGTCCAGAAGTTTAGGTCATTTGTTTTGAGATTGATCGAAGTATTTGTTCAGTTAGAAATTTGTTTACAACGTCAACAGTCTCCATTACTTACATTTAAATAGATTAATGAATCCGACGGCACTGTCTTTAATGCAGGGAGAATACTGTTCAAAGAAATTTCGCAAGTGAGCATAAACAACGATTTTTTTGGAAAGAAATTTCTATCTATTCAGGTAAAAAAATTGTAAAAATAAGTAGATAATTGTTTAAAAATTACTTTTAAGTGATAAAATTATCTTAATTGAAAATACTTTTCGTAAAATAATTGCTTAATTATCAGTATGTGACACGATATCGATACCTACAGAGCAGATATTATCACACTTTTGTAAAATAACGTGTGGATTAATTTTATTCATCGATATAATGTTTTATTGTATCGCAAAAGTGCATCAGGCAAATAAAGTGGAACGTGTATGGCATAAGCAGCATATCACTTTAATCATGACAACATTTACTGTACTGCTGCGAAAACGCTGCACCCTACAATTCTTGGGTGTAACTTATATACTTCGTTTACTTTCCGTAGCAATGTGACCTTCAGTTTGACCGGTGCAATGTAGAAAAGAACAGCACTAGGCCAAAAAAGGAAGGAGACAACTCTCGGCCAAACTCTTAACCGGTGAGGAGCGTATAATCCGTACAGTACTGCACGGAAAAATTGACCATTTTATCCACTAAAATTGCATTGCTCAAATGTGCTGTTATTGGTACCATTTACTACTGAAAATATCAACGAGATGTTTATTTATATTTGAAGACATATTAAAGGCTTCAACGATTGTTTTCGACTCGCACTAATATTCATGGTTGAACAAAACTTTTGGCAGGTACTGTATGAAAAGGTATGTTTAATGAACAAGAGCCGAGAGTATAATGAGCTTTTTTCTACCTACCTACCATTTTGCCAGCGCGCATCCAAGACATTGGAAGGGGCACATCGCTACAGAAAGTAAATGAAGTATACCACCGTAACTATACGTAAAGACATTGAGAATTATCACAACTGCACTTAGAACGTTTTATGTTAGTTATTTTAAAATACGAGTGCCATGATTGCCATCTGAATAGCATTCCGGTCTTACAGGTGGTCAAATAGCTATACTTTTCTATATTTCATGTGACGAGTTTAACATCTACCGGTGGTATCACATATCAGATTGCTTTGTAGAGATTAATATGGTCATGCTTGGTCAATGTAAGCACTTACTGTTACGTACATAAAAGTTACAGCACATTTTTTGAATTTTCGGCTAGGCAGAACACGAAATTCGTATCTTTTAACACTTATTGTTAGTTGATTATAGGCTTTCACGACCGGCGTCGAATATAGGTGAGTTTTTGTCCGGGCTGTTGGACCGTGGTCTGTTGGGTGGTTTCATCCACAACTGCGGTGGACATTTTCAAGGGCGATGTCGAAGTCTTCTCTCTTGCGAAACGGCCACAAGTACCCAACAGACCACAGCCCATCAGCCCGAAAAAAAAACTTTTGGGTGTTTCATTCCCACCAGCCTCTAGTGCTGGTGGGCGGGCAGTCCCTCCGGACTATGCCGGAAGGTAGGGCGGAAGGCCCTCTTCAGCCTCCTTTAAGAAAACGTGGGAATTGCTGGGTGGTCGTTCGGGTGAGAAAGATGAGACGGACGAAATGAAGACAGAAGAGAGTGAAAGATTATCTGTGGAATATTACTGCCTCAGCATTTGCCTAAGTGATCCAAGGAAACCACAGAAAAACTTGGACCAAGGCAGACGGACCCGGAATCGAACCGGCATCCTCCCGAATGCTAAGCAATGGTCTAGACCTCTAGGCCATGCCGCTCGGTCATCAGCCCGTACAACCATAGACATATATTAATGGACGTGGCTTAGTCATATGTCGTTGTAATAATTTCTTGACTCGAAAAATGAGGGAGATGGCGTATGGTTTCGGACTAATGCTATCTCTTTCATGACATGCTTACGCACCATCGTGAGAGAGATGCATATTGTCCGAAACTTCGTTCCATCTCTTTCGTTTGTTGTACCACAATTCTGACCGCTAAGGCATGTCCATTAGTAAACGTCGATGCGTACAACAACTCACTTATTATTAACATGACGAAATATTGAGAATCGTTTTGCTTAATACTGACGTCACCAGACATGTTTTAATTTATTAAATTATGGTTATTATCCATATCCGTCAATTATTCCTTCCATTAAAATATTTCCCATAGAATTATTTATTTTCAAGTACCTGTATGTATAATCCATGCCGATTACGTTTAAAGCGATACTAACAATTTCTCCCACTAGCTCGTTGCTTCGTAAGCGAAAATAATAAAAATTACAATTTGAATCCGAATTTGTAAAAAAATAAAATAACAGCAGAAATAAATGTAGGTATTTTAATTGATATTACAAATTAAATAGTAATAATTAAGAAACTTGAAATAATTTTAAATAAACAACGTCAAAATTGAATTGATTACAAGTTACCTAATTCTACTATTTCAACTCATCAGTCAAGATAGATGATATGCCGTTTTTATGCCAAAAAGCGGAATTTTGTATTTATCATTCTAAAGCGGCGTTTTACTTCCCGCAAAGTTTGAACTCATATTATACAACCATATTATATAACCCCTTCAAAGGGAGGTAGACTTAAAATAGCGATGGGTTGCTATTTTTCTTTTGTTTTCGTGGAGGAGGGAATTCTTTATAAAAACCCAGCCGTCCGAAGGACTAAGAACTGTTAGACTCTCAAGGAAGGAGTCCTCCAAAATACTGACTGAAACCCCTCTATCTCGGACCGTACTTTAGTACCGTTATTTCGGAGTGTTTTTAAACTGATATTATTTAACAACCTGTTATTTTTAAGCTGAAAATAATAGGTTCGGTATTCAGTAATGAATCACGATCAGTTTACTAACTTGAACCCCCAAACCTCCGACCAACGTTCCTGCATACCGGTTAAGATGTTTAATAATTTCTCGATCACAGCACAGTGGGTATTTTCGCAAAATCAGTGCAATTTGCAATAGGTACAGATGTGGTGATAAAAGAGCCGAACATGTAATTATTCAATTAGAACGGGTACTAAAAATTAGGTCGTTTTGACGCCTATATACCTATCGTAAACAATTAATTTATTTTGATATCTGAAATGTAAATTAATTATAATTTTCCTTTATTAGCATTTCCCCAAGACTTCCAATTTGAGGAATACGATTCATCGGATTCTCTTAGAATTGTTGGAGGGTCTAACGCATCAATAAACGATTATCCCTTTGCAGTGCAAATTTATACGGGTTATCGCTTTTGCGGTGGATCGATATTATCTAACGCATGGGTACTTACGGCAGGTCACTGTTTACTTGAGTAAGTACGAGTGAATTTTGTCACAAGTTAGTCAATTGTCAATGTGTCTAACAAAGGTGCATACATATCTATATCTATTTAGTACAAGATACTTATTTAGGATTTATAAATTAGGTATTTTTATTATTATTGTTCAATAAACCTTCTTTTATTTTATGTAGACTCATTGTAGACTTAAAATTGAAACAGTTATAATTCCTAATATATATTAATTATGTATATTTAAAACATCTGAAGAAACCACACCGTGGCGAAACGTATGTTAACTTGACAATAAAATTGATTAACTTTTAATTTTACTCTTCGTGATTAATTACATTCTCTTCTTTTATAGCGCAAATGTAATAAATGTAACAATTCTTGCTGGTGCTCAACGTCAGGGGCTAGATGGTGTTCTAGTAGAAGCTGAAGAACTGTACATCCATCCTCAGTACTCTGAGCCCCCTAACGACACTGAAGCAGGTCCCGACTATGATATCGGTTTGATTAAATTGTTACAAAATCTGACCTTCAGTGATACAATTAGGAGTGTTCAACTAATTGATGACAATCAACAAGTAGCAGCAGGAACCAATGCCACAGTTTTAGGGTGGGGATCGCAGTCAGAAGATGTAAATGCCAGTTATACTGATGAACTTCAAGCAGTTTCTGTACCAGTTGTCGCACAAGACAGATGTAGAAGTATTCTTAATCTTACCGAAGAGTACCTCACTGATAGGATGCTGTGTGCTGGTTACGACGAAGGTGGCAGGGATGCCTGTTCGGTAAGTTGGATGGTTCTGCTATCGTAGCACCTCATATTATATCGAAATAAGGGAAAAGCCAATTATTGCATCTCAAACGTGAGAAGATGGTCGTAAAAGGGCAATTATTTATATTAAAATTTGTCAGTGACAGAAATCTTATTGATTTTTAAGTTTTTCAAAGTCGTTGAAAATGTATCTAAGCATCCCGTTTTCTGTAAATAGAAATAATGAAGGGTATATTCGATAGATAGATTATTTACTGCAATAGTTTAGCTAAAATAATTTTAATAAGATTTAAACATGTGTGAAATTAATATTCAATTTTCATTCAATACAAATTATCTTAAATCAATGAGGAAAAATTCTTGATGCTATTATACCCTCGTCGTGAATCGAATCCCGAATCTTTGGCTTTACGCACCACTGATTTCACTACTAAGCTCTCAAGGTGACAGTTACGGTAATTTGTAGTGGGTGGAAGTTTAATTCGTTTCACATTATTATTACAATTTTATTACATGTTAACCGCTATTAAAAAACTTCTTAAAGTGTTTCATAAAATATTTTTTTTTAAATTATTGAGTGGTATCAACAGTAAGACGCGTTAGAGTTAGAGTTAGAGAGCGTTAAAGTTAGAATAGTAAACGCATGAATCACAAGTTCCAAATAAGAAGTCGATAAAATTGATCAGATCAATTATCTCATCTTCAGAAGTATTATCAAAGAAGACACACTAGGAGTAGAAAAATCAATTTTGGGTCATGACTGAAAAAAATACACAGCTGCTCCCACTCCGTCCAATTTATATTTGATACTCATGCACGTATTGTTCTGATCCAATGATATTATGAATTCTATAGGTTCAACATTACTGTTGATGTCACCTAATTAATTGTTTCTTCAACAATAATTTATTTTAGCTGAGCAATTTTATTATCATTAAATCTATCATTTCATTTTGTCGTACTTTTCATTATTTTTTTTTAGCAAACAGTTAAATTCCATATACAAAAAATAAGATGGAAAGATAGAGGAGTTATTGATATTTTTTGAACGTATTATTAACAGAGATTAATTCTAGACATAGTATGGTTATGATCAAAAGCGTAGAACAAATTTTATTTGTAAATATCTCAAATTTTAGGGTGATTCCGGAGGACCCTTGGTTGCCAATAACACTCTCATTGGTATCGTATCGTGGGGACGTGGCTGCGCGCGGGAACAATCTCCAGGAGTCTACGCTAACGTTACAAACCTTCGTCAGTATATTAGAGATGTTACATCACTTTAAAAAAAATAATTATTAAAAAAAAAGATATTCGAGTTGTTTCCTTTTTTTAATGCTTTTTCCCGTTATTGATTCCTAGTTCCCAATATAAGTAATGAATCACGATCAGTTTACTAACTTGAACCCCCAAACCTCCGACCAACGTTCCTGCATACCGGTTAAGATGTTTAATAATTTCTCGATCACAGCACAGTGGGTATTTTCGCAAAATCAGTGCAATTTGCAATAGGTACAGATGTGGTGATAAAAGAGCCGAACATGTAATTATTCAATTAGAACGGGTACTAAAAATTAGGTCGTTTTGACGCCTATATACCTATCGTAAACAATTAATNTTATTTCATTGGAATTCTTTGGGAAATAAAACTTTTCCATTCATATCTAAGAATATTAATTGAATTTTTCAAAATGGAAAGAATTGTTTTTCCTTTTATATTGAATGGCTTTAAATAGAATCTATAAATTTAGCATTGGTTGCCATTGAAAATCAATGGAAATTTTTATTTTTCCATTTATGCCAAAGGGTTTTTAATGGAATTTACAAAATTTCCATTGATTTCCATTGAAGCTTTTCGTTAACAATAGAGAAAACGATAGAAAAAATAAAGAGTGCGTACATAGGATTTGTAGATTTAAAAGAACCTTTTGACAATCTTAAATGGGACAAGATGTTAAATATACTTAAAAATGCAGAGATGAGGTACAAAGATAGAAGAGCGATACTTAGTATGTACAACAGGCAGTTATAGAGCTAGGGATGCAACGTAGAGTAAATATTAGGAAGGGAGTCAGACAGGGATGCACACACAATAGATGCGATATGGACAAAACAATACTGTATGAAAATAAATAAAAGTAAAACAAAAATACTAGAGAAAGAGCGAATACAAAAATAGGAGACGAAAAATTAGAAGTGGCCAATTTTAGGTTTCTAGGAAGTCAGATAAGTCAGGACGGAAGGAGTACTAGCGATAGAAAGCACAGTATAGTGCAGGAATGAGATCCTGTGCCCGCGAACGGCTGATTTAGAAATTTGAAAAAGGTTGTTAAATGTGAATTTTTGGAGCACGGCGCTGTACGGGTGCGAGGACAGTGGACGCGGCGAAAAAGGAACGTTCGAAATGTGGTGTTACAGACGAACGATGAGGATACCGTGGATAGAGAATGTTAGAAATGAAGAGATATTAGAATGAATAAGAGAACAGAGGACCCTATGGAAGTCAATAAGGAATAGGAGAGATAGGTTAGTCGGACACCTTCCCAGGCATGAAGGTCTAGTCAGAGACATATTAAAGGTAGAAACGGAAGTTAGGATGGGTAGAGGTACACCTAGATTCGAAAATAGTTAAGGATATGGATTGTTCTAGTTTTAGGGAAATGTGAAGATTAGCTCAGGATAGGAAAGAGTGGAGGTGCATGTCCAACCAGTCTTAGGCCTGACAACCTTATGATGATGAAATTTTTCTGCAGTAATGTGTAGAAACTATCAGAAGTGAATCACAATTTCTATCTTAGTTCTCATCCACACGTCGTACGTAGTTTCCATAAATCACTGGCCAAAGTTGTTTTTGAAAAGTAAGATATATCAACCTGCAAGAAGGGGATTACCATTGTTACTGTTTCCGTTTGTTAGATCATGGTAAATGGTGTTATTTAATGAATGAAATTTATTTAATTGCCTTACGAACAAAATTAGTTTAGTTTTCAATCGCTGTCTGAAAACGTATCCAACAACTTCTGCAGAAGACGTTGTGTCTTCTGTGGCAGGGGTTTCCACGGGAGCGGTAGATGTGCTGGCGTGGGGTGGTGGAAATGAGGTGACGGTGAAGGTTGTGTAATTTTACAGCTATTTGGTCACAACGTAGCTTTGCAATTAGATAGTCTCGCTGAGGTATTTGCTGGTTAACTAGAGAGAGTTCTCATATCTGGTTTATCCCGTATTCTCTTGTCCTTTTATATGATTTCTGGAGCTCTTACTATTCTGCGGATGTCTCATAGTATGACCTTCATGATTTGAAGAAAGAACCAGGAAATGTAAATGTTGCATAATCGGGTCATGTGATTGGACTTAAAAAGCAATTTTACTAATAGCATATAGTACGAGCTTTCGAGTTGGCCTTGACAACTTATTCGTATCCATGTGGACCCAACTCCACATTTGTAACGGTCGCAGTTATAAATCATGTCCACGTGGAGTGCTTCCGAGAATCGATTTGCATCTCAAGCTATATTAGTATTAAATTTATAAAAATCATAGCCGTACAATTTTCTATGATCGAACTATCTTATTATTATTGTACGACGAATGTAGCAACTGTTGCGGCGATCGCTGATCCATGTGAAACACTGATCCGGCGTCATACTCCACCTTCCTTGACGACAGTTAGTGTCGGTGTCTTCGGCTTGCTTGAAGATGATGTTGAAGAATTCGGCTCACGCTGGCTGTGAGGCGACGCTAAAAACCGCAAGACTCCGTAGCTCTTGCGCAGGCGCGAAATAATTTTGAGTCATGTCTATGATTTTGCTCTTGCCGCTTTTTTATTCGAATTCAAACAAACGATCTCAAGCGTTCTGATCTGTGGAGTAGAAATAAACTGGGCAGTAATCTACTAATAATTGATAATGTAGGCAGAAAAATGATACTCATATACAATGTAAACGCATTCTTTATTAGTATGAATGGAAAATAAAATAAATAAAAAATTGTTTCAACAAATTTATAATGAAAAAGTAGTCCCTTCTAAACATGTTTAATTAATTATTAAATTTATTGTAATTATGGACAGGTCTCTATGAAACAAAGCTAAAACATCACAAAAAACGAAGAAACAATTCTCACTTTAAACTTTTTCGAAGGTTTCTATTAAAGTACAGTACAACTGTTTCGATTAGATTAAGTCTTTCTGAAGAGTACATACAAAATGGTTTTGTACATTTGAATCCTAATGTACTCCTTTCTGCTTTCGTTAACTTTATTATTTAGAAAAATAAAAAAGGTTTCTCATTTAATGTTTAGAAAAACTCATGTTTGGGATTAGATTACATACGTACTTTATTTTTTCTTAGATGGGAAATATTCCTGTTTAGCCATTTTACGTTTTCTTAAATTCCTACTTTGTTTTTGAACTTTTTCTATATGCTTTCCAAATACCTTGAGTGCTACTTGAAATGCTTCATCATCCAGTTGATTCATTGCACTGCGATACGTTTCCATTGCTATCTTCAATTGCGTTTCACGGTCTTGATGTACTTCTTTGTTATTTATATTTTTCTGATTTTGCAAATGATTAATATATAAGATATAACGTAAAAACGTCTGCCTAATAATATAAACAAATACATTAAAATGTTCGACACTACTTAAAGCAGCACCACTTAGAAACTAAACACAAAAATATGTAATTGTTTTAAGAAAGAAGAATAAATTGGCTTTTTAAACAATGATTATGAGTCTTTGTTTAATGCATAGATTAAACACTGTTGCATGTGCACAATTCTGCAGGTGAAGGAAATCCAAAAACGAATGAAATAAGTCAGCATACACGATTAACCATGAATTGAATTGACGGTTAAAAATGTAGTTAGAGGTTTGAACGATTTAAAAATATGAAAAAGGGCAGCAAGACGATTCTCATAGACATTCTTGACAGGAGTCAATTTCGCGCCTGCGGTTTTTAGTGTCGCCTCTGGGTGTGTGGGTCGAGGCAGATAAGTGGTGATGAACGTTTGGAGATCGTTGTAGTGGCATAGGTTGTACTGTTGTGCTTCCTATACCTCATCTTTTTAATGCTTGTATGTCTAGAGGACATGCGGTGGGCGGCGGGTAGGTCGGTGGTAATACCGCTGTTAGTACAGGGTGGTATGAAGGTGGTAGAGTCGTTCGGTGGCATCTTCCGTAGGCCGCGACAGATCGTCCGGTATACGTGACTCAGACTGACAGAGGGATAGCCAGAAGATATTTCTGTCCTCATGCGTTAGCAAGAGTTCAGTATCGTAGGGTGAAGTGAATCTGTACCCATCCTCTTTTAATTTTCCTTTCGGTCGAATAATCGGCTGCTGCTGATCTCAAAAGGCAAGAGATCTGTAGTCTATCCTATCGTGTATGTATTCTTAAGTGACATCAAGATGGGCGTTGATCAGATGTCGCCGACGATCTGTCAAGGGCTAGGGTTACCAATTCCTTGCTACGGGTCCTGTTAGTAGCCCTTGTTTAAAGAACTTTTCACTGCCAGTAGTAAGTCGTCGGCCGTCGGCAACACAAATTACAAAGATGCAAATTAAAATTGAATGTGAGAGAATGAGGAAAGAGGCGAAGTCGTAAAGCAATGAAAAGCGTAATGTACTCGAAAATAATATATTACAGGAAATCACCTTCATAGATGATAGTGTTTTTACAATAATAGGGAGATGTCACATCAACACATTACACATTGACGGTCTTTCCAGGCATGTAGATTTGAAAAACATATCTATCAAAATATAAATAAAAAAAGTAGGTTTATTTCGGTCAAAACTACAACATCCTGTATCATTGTCATAAGGCCTTTAACCAGAAGAAAATTAGAGCAACCTACACTTTTTTACGAACAGCAGCCTAAACTAGGTTTAATTTTTCTAGTATGTCTCGAACTAGCCCTTTATGTTTCAGAAAGTGTCCTGACAATCTAACTCGCCTATTTGTAATTAACTTCCAGACAGCCTCNTTCTTTACATCGACTGTCACATTTTCGTTTAACATAATTTAAAGAGGGGACATTTCCCTTAATAATTTAATATTACTAAGAATACATTTAGGAAGTTTTAAATTTTTAGTTTCTATGATATTATCGTTATCGCAGAATTTGATAAATTTCCGTTCAGTATATAAAAATTCTGCTTCTTCACCTGGCTTATCGAGTTTCTGATGAAAAATTTGCAGCGATTGCAATATTGAAGCTGAAAGACCTTTGGGCGGGTCCAGAGCTGGCTTGGGAGCATCTATGGAGATGGTCCATTGTTATATACGTATGTCCTATCGTGTACTAGCCGAATGACTCAAT